GGTTCTCTTTCAGCCAGGAACCATGATCGAGTGGGGGAACAACTGGTGAGTGGCCGTGCCAGGGGCTGGATGGGGAGACCCTGCCCGTGTGCCCTGCCAAGTCCCTTGGGGGACCGCCTTCCCAGGGCCATATGGCAGGGAACCCTGCAACCTCCGCCCCTCATGGAGCCAGGAGAAGGGTCCAGCCAGGAGGTGAGGATCTTCCAGGGGATCCCCTGGAGGAACACCCAGCCGGCAGCTGTTCTCTGTCACCCCATTCCCCAGCCATGTCTGAGAGCTGGGGGCCCACCTCAGACCTCTCCCTTGAGGTGTGGTGGAGAAGTCAGCCTGGGGGCACCGCAGGGGGCCCTTCGTATTGGCCCTGGCCTCTTCCCCACGCTCTTCTGCCTTCCCAGGGCTCGGGCCATCAAGTACCGGCAGGAGAATCAGGAGGCGGTGGGCGGCTTCTTCTCGCAGATAGGAGAGCTCTACGTCGTGCACCATCTCTGGGGTAGGCTGGGGTCCCTCCAGGAGCCTCCTGCCAGTCCCCTTTCTCCATTCTTACTCCACTGTCGTTTGTGCAGACAGTGCCAACGCATTAGTACCCTGTGGAAACTACTAGCAGAGGGAGACAACACCTCAGATATAAACTAACACAGATGATTTCAGATTATTACAAATTAAACAGAGATAGGGAGAAATGATGGAGAAAAGCATGGGAACCTGCATTGGCTAGAATAGACAAAGAAGGCTTCTCTAAGGCGGTAACAGTGTAAGCCCAGCTAAAGGATGAAAAGGAGCCAGCTGTGAATTGCTAGGGAAGGGCATTCCAAGTAGAGGGAGTAACACATGCAAAGGCCCTGTGCTGCGGAAGGGCCTTCAGGATTTTGAGGATCGCAAAGGAGGCTGGTGTGGAGAGAGTGGGAAAGAGTGTGGGGAGATGAGGCTGGGCCTTGTAGGCCATGGGGGTGAGTTGAGATTTATTCTAAATGCAACAGAAGGCTACTGCACCATTGTGAGCAGCATGATATGGCCTGATGTGTTCTAATACGATCCCTTTGGCTGCCATGTGCTGCGCTGATAGCACTTTGTAGGGGAGCAAGAGAGGACGTGAGGCCACAGGAGACGTTACCGTAGCTCAGGCAGGAGAGGTGATAGCCTGGCCAAAGTGGTGGCAGTGAGGATGCTGAAAAGTCCAGACTGATTAGCCTGGAGGTGGATCCAGTGTGTCACTGAGACCCCAGGAGTAGGAGGTTGGAGAGTTCAGGAGTCTGAATTTGGCCCGCAGAAGTGCTGCACTTGAGATGCTGACACGTCCAAGTGGAGATATTAAGTGGGCACTGGGTAGATGAGTCTGGAGGCTGAGGGAAAGTTTGGGGCTGGATATATAAATTTGAGCGCTCTCAACAAATGTGCTTATCGTATGAGACCGTCAAAGCAGACAGTGTTTACTAACAGTCCGAGGCATCGGGGAGGAAGACAGCAGGGCAGGGTTCGGAGCAGTGGGAAGGGGGCCTCTGCTGGGCACGGGGTCAGACCCTCTGCCCAAAGACTGAGGCAGTGCCTTCCCCACAGCCTATAAAGACCTGCAGTCTCGGGAAGAGACTAGAAATGCTGCTTGGAGGAAGAGGGGTTGGGACCAAAATGTCTACTACACAGGTAAGTGCCACCTCCTCTGGGGCGTTGCTCAGAGGACCTTGGAGGTCATCTGCTAGGAGCCTCACTTGATTCCCTCCAGTGACAGGGAACTTGCTTTTAAGGCAATGAGTTATTGGGTTTCTGTCCTGGTGGCACACACTACATGACCCAGGCAGTCCTGAGTGCTCTAGAGGTGATATGACAACCAAGAGGTCCCTGCCTCAGATAAGTGCAGTCGTTCAGTGTGCCCTGCGACCTCGGGCATGGCCATCCACCTCACTGAGGCCGATTGCTCATCTGTAAGATGGCGGTGGTGGCAGTGGCTGCCTCGGAGGGCTGGAGGGAGGGTTCCCAGAGCTGATTTATGAGGAGTGCTTCACCCGGATTCTGGCCCAGAGGAATCGTGCAGCAAATATTTTCCAGCAAGTTGTTTGTCACTTTGCTGGGCCCCCTAGAACTTCCTGGAGTCAGTAGGTGTTGATTGAGCCCTGGATGTGTGCCAGGGACTGTGGTGGGCATTGGCTGGGGGGTCCCAGAATGAACAGGAGCCTGTCCCTGCCCTTGAGGCTTTCACACTTAACCAGCTGGTATAGGAGAGAAAGCATCCCCTGAAAGCGTTAAAAGGAGTGTGGTCCCAAATGACAGTAGTATCAGCATCCCCTGGAATCTTTAGAAATGCTGAATCTTACCCTTCCCCGCCACCCACTGAGTCAGAATTTGTGCTTTAACAAGTACTATAGGTAATTTGTATGCACAGCAAAGTGTGAATAACTCTGAGCAGGAGGAAGGAGACTGACCTCCAGGGCTACTTTGGGTTGACTCATTCCAGGCTGCAACCTCTCCATCTGTAAAATGAGGCAATTGAGCTAAATCTATTTTTCAAACCTCAGCCACTTGAGGACCCCCTCACAGCTTTTGTCCTATCAGTATTCTATTGCTACAATTATTTTCTTGGTATTTTTCTTTAAATCCCCCTAACTTTGTTCTTTACCTAGCATTGTCCTAAGCAATAGGATCTGTGAAGTCACTTTTTACTATGCTATTTTTTTTTCACAAACTCAGAGAAATAAATACATAATTATGAAAAATTTTTAAATGTTGCATTTCATACCACCTAAGTCCCCTCTTCCATAATTTGGAAGATCTGGTGCTCTCCATGGGTCATTCCAGGACAGTGGAGGCATTTCCTGTCTAAGCATCCCAGCCATTCTACCCCTTCAAAAGCCAGTTGCCTGTGTTAGCCTCTTCCTTCACCTCTGTGACCTCTGCCTCTCTCCGCAGTCCCCCTGGTGCGACACATGGAATCTCGGATCATGATCCCTTTGAAGATCTCACCTCTTCAGTGAAGTTGCTGCTGCCTCCTCCTCATTCCCCTTCTCCCTCAGGGCAGCCATGGACAGAGGAGCTCCCAGTTCTGCTGTCTTGGTTCTCTCTCAGACCTGGGAGGACTGGGGCTAGTGCTCAGCTCAGACAGTGGGAAGCTGAAGGTTGACAGGGTTCTGAGGACTTGGAGCTCTGCCTGGAGACTTCCCACCATCCCTGCCCACTCCTTCCCCTGTGCTGGAAGCAGTCCTTAATTTCTCTGAATGAGAACAGCAACCTTTTATGTCTTCCCCCTAAGATTCCTCATCTCAAGGCCACCAGTCCCCAACGATCACCATGGAAAACCTCAGTTTAGCTTTAGTTGCTCAAAAGGTAGTGTATCCTTTTAGGTGGGTTAAAGGTGGGGTGGGAAGGGAAGAGGTGAAACCAGACCAGGCTCTCAGGAATTTCCTGGTCTCCGGGGGGCCACCCACTCGCTGAACAGTCTGAGCCAAGTCCCTGTGGCTGGGAAAAAGCCTACAATTGCCACAAGAAGTAAAGGAAAACCCTCAATTAGCAAAGTCAGCAGTAGGTCCGCCTGATTCACCTAGAAAGGCTGGGAAAAGGGAGCTGGAAAGGTTCTGGGGGTCAGGAAACAGAATGGAACAGGAACAAGGACCCAGAATCAGGAATCCTGAAGGTAGAACTTAGAATTCAGAACTTGGGTTTGAACTGCAGAACTTGGAATAAAGAACGGAAGATAGAACGGATGTGACATTAGACCACTTGGGAGGGGTTCCTAATACAAGACACTTGGAAAGAGGCTCATCTGATTCCCTCTGCATAATGAGATTGAAAACTTGAGTAGATAGTTCCGGCCCTTCTGTGCAGGGAGAGTCTCCTGCCCTCCCATTTCCTTTCCATAGGCAAAGATATGGGCCTGGGCCTGTATTTCCCTCACCCTGCATCCCTTTTCTCCCTCTTCACATTCGATCAGCCCAACCCTCATTCTGTGGGGCCGCTGGATATGTGGAGTGGGGTCAGTGATTTTGAGGGCCTCCTCAGTGACCCCCACACCTCATGAACCTCTGGGTGGATTTATTCTGCCTCCCTTTCAAGAAAACTTGTGCTGGACTTGCTGATGGAACCAATTAAATGTTTACTATAAACCACTGTGTCTTCTCTTCTGCAAGGAACTAGGGCCAGGCCAGCTTCCCAGTTCCAGCTGCTGACTTACCCCTTGGAGGGCATTGCGCTCCCAGAGCTACCCTCAGGGATGGCCTCCCTCCCCCCATGGCAGAAGGAACTTTCCTATATAACCAGGGATTCAAGATAGCAGGGTCTCTACCTCCAGATAAGTAGGATTTACCAAAATCCTACTTTTTACCCAAAGTCCCAAACCGTGCCTGTACAGTTCCTACCAGGGATAGAAAATACTTGAAGCTGCCAAATGCTGCTTTAGAATTGTGACTGCCCTGGGCAAATCAGGTCGAAAGTGGGAAACTACTGATGCACCTGTGGTAAAAATTAGTGTAAGATGGGGTTAATGCCCTTCCTAACTTGCTGTCCTCACTAGTGTGGGGATATTTGCTAAGAACCTAGGTTATGAAGGCAAATCCACAGGGGTCCAAATCTTGACACCACCACATTCTTGTGTTGTCTTGGGCGTACCACTAACTCATTCAACAAATGCTTGGTAGGCAACCTGTTCTTTGCTGGGCTTCGGGCGCTGGGGAAAGCGTGAAGGAAACTCATTTAGGGTGTTTGCCCTTGCCTGGTGCTCACAGCGTGGATACACCGAGAATGAGGGTTCCATCCTGTTCCGGGCACGAATGTGAAGCAACCAATGAATGCACAAAATAAGTGGAAGAACAAATGGACGTTTCCCTCTCTAAAATCAATTAAAAGAAAAGATTGTTTGCCCTTGCAGCTTCGGCTTCCTGGTTTTAGAGGGCAGCGTGAGGATGCTGGCGATTCGGCACCCCCCGAAACCCAGCAAGCCAGCTGCCCCGGCTTCCTGGCCCCACGTCATCCAGCCGCTGCCTTGCACTGCGGGCCGGTGCCTTCCCCGGCCTCCGCACTTCGCTTCCGGCCTCCGCTCCTCGCTTCCGGCCACTCGCTCCTTTTTTTCCGCTTCTCTATGGTGCGCGGGCTGCTGTCTCGCCGCCGCGTGAAGTGGGTCGCTCGCTGGGACAGGTCCGGGGCGCAGTTCGGTGAGGAGGGGATCGGGGCCGTGGGAGGGCGGCAGCGTGAGGCCGGATGCTCTGCGGCGGAGGTGCGGATCACCCGGAGGGCGTCCTCGGGCTGGAGTCCGGCCCGGGTTCTCCGTCCTCACGCCCCGGTTCCCCGCCGCTGGGCGCCGCGCGCGCAGCTTCCTCAGGTGGAAAAGGTTGGCTGCAGCATCGCAGGCCCCAGTTGTAGCCGCTGGGGGACGACGATGGGGGTGGTGATAACGGCTCCCGTCGTGCGCTTCTGTGGGCCAGGCATTCATTACTGTGCGGACAAAATCGGGGTTTCCCACATTGAAACCTTTCAGGCCTTACCTTTGTGGGTCTCACCTTTGTGAGTTTGGCCCAACCAACTTAGCTGTGGGACTGCTTACCAAAGGCTTTTAACGGACTCACTTCTAAAATTTAAATTCACTTTAAAAGAAAAATGTAAGTATCATACATATAAAACCTCTTTCACCTGTCCCATGCAGAAGGTAATGGTAAAAATTAAAATATTTAAAATGAAAACAGATCCTCATATAATTCTGACTAGACTTCATTGTCTACGGCTCTGAGATAGGTCCTTTGGTTACCAAAGGAAGAGGGGTGTTCACAGGCATTAAAGACGAACTAGGGAGATGCGACGCGTCCTTTGAAGCGATGAGAAGGTCCTAAAGCAACTTGAAAAGAGAGTCACTTTCTCCTCAGGTGTTCGCCATCGTTGAAGATCACGCATGTACCATCTACAGCCCCACTCCCAGATCATCTGCGTCACCTTCCCCAGTGGAGGACACTCCTGCGTTAATGTCCACAGCACACCCTGAGGTAGGGACTTCCCATGGGACCTGTGAGGAAACAGGCCCAGGGAACAGCGAAGCGTCTTGTCCCAGGGCTCGTAGCCGTAAAATAGTAGAGAGGAGACTCCTTCTTAGGGCTCCTCCGACGCGGCTACTCTGAGCTACTGGCTCCCTCAATCGCTGTCGCTGACAGATTTGTTGGGGGCGAGAGTGCTGCCCGGCTGGGGGCTGTGGTGGCGATCAGGAGAGGGAGCCGAGGGAGGATGCGCTGTGACCCTAGAGCTCCATGCAATTCAGACTCTGGGTTTTTAAGTTGTAGGGTTAACCAGGGAGCTGACAACATCCCCAGGTGAGGTGGCGGGAAGACGAGGACGCATGTAATGTCGTTGTTAAGAGCGCTGCTGTGGCATCAGAGGGATCCATGCTTCAGCGCAATAGCTGTGTGACCTTGGGCGAGTCATTCACCTTTCTGACCCTCAGTGTTCTCATCCATAAAATGGTACTTGTTCTTACCGAAAGGTTTGTATACAGATCAAATGAGAACGTAGCCGTAAAGTGCTTCGATCAAGGTCTAGCACACAGTGATCAGTCAATAATAGTATTGGGAATGTGCATATATGCCAGGCAGAGGAGTTTGGTCAGTGGTGCGGTGGTGGTGCCTGTAAAAGGAGGTGGAGGTGAAGAAGATGAGTTCATTTTGGACAGGCTGACGGATGACCCTTTCCCCTTTTTACAGAGGACTTAACTGAGGCTTAGGGTTGAGTGTTTTCTTGAGTTACCAAGGGTGTAAATGACCAGACCTGCTAATTAAACTTCAGTATCATGACCCCAGGAAAATCTCCAGTTCCAACTCTGGAAAAATCTGAAAAGCTTTCTTCTCTTAACAGGTCTCTGCTGTTTCTTCCTGACCTCCCCACACCACCATGTCATCAGAATCAAGCAAAAAACGGAAGCCCAAAGTGATCCGAAGTGATGGAGCTCCAACCGAAGGGAAGCGTAATCGTTCTGACACTGAGCAGGTGAGATTAGCCAGGGCTGCCATGCTGCTGAGAAATTGCAGCTTGTGGCCAGGCACCTGGATGTGGGTTTGTAGCACCTAAGGGTCACAGGGATACTCTCCCAGGTGGCCTCTGTTCAGCAAGGTGCCTAGAATTCACTTAGCTCTACAAAGTCTGAGTATCCACATCAGGTATAGATGCAGCATCTCAAAAAGCCTGGATTAGACACGATTAGTGCCTGAACAGAGAGTGCATTCTGGTACGGTGTGTGCTTCCAGTTTTCCTGGTGATCAGAAGAAGGCTCCATCTGCAGCATGCCACTCGAGCTTTGCAGATGTGGCGCCCCTGGTCTGCTCCTGAGGCAGTACCGGCACCACGTGGCCACAGAACCTCTTCTGTGATCTGATTGCTCGTGTGGTCAGCAGGCTCTCCTTTTGCTCTTTCTCTGTGCTTGAATCTGTCAAGCTAATTTATTACTTAACTGTTTTGATAGTTTGGTTGGTTATGCTTTTTGTTTGTTTTTAAAACTAGGATAGAAAAACATACCAGCTTACATTTAAATGAAAAATATCTTCCTCAGATTTAAGAAATCAAGACTAATGAAGAGTTTTATTCTGTTGGGGGCATTGATTCTGTCTTTCTTAATGGAAGTATAACTGTAATGTTGCATATTAGTTTCAGGTATGCAACAAAGTGATTCGATATTTGATTTATTGAGAAATGGTCCTAGCAGTAAGTCTGGTTAACTTTTGTTGCCATACATAGTTACAAAATTTTTTTTCTTGTAATGAGAACTTTTAAGATCTAATCTCTTAGTATCTTACAAATGTGCAATACAGTATTATTAACTATTGACTGTCCATAAAAAGATGTGTTCTGTTTACTCCAAAGGCTAGGAGACCAATTTTGATATTTTAGTCTCTGCTAAAGCTTAATTTGACCATCTGAACACTCATCTATAGGAATTTGTTTAAATTAATTCTGGTTTATCTATTTAGCGAACTGTTTATCAGGCAACCATTTTCATGGAGATCTATATTGGGATAGAAAATTGCACTAAACAGCATGGACAATATGATCTCATTTTGTATTTATCCACAGTATTAACAGTGGAGTTATTTCAGACTGGGAGGTGAAATTACAGGCAATTTTTCATTTTGTTTTTGTTGCTCCTTACTATGTTCTGAATCTCTGACACTAAGCATGCATTACTATATAATCAGAAGAGGAATTGTTTTCCATTTTGAAAAAAAGAAAAACATTTGATTGGAGGAACAGATCCTTTAGAGACCTGATTTGGGACTTCATTATTACTGATCTCAGCCCATATCCCTCCATATCCCTGGTCCTAACAGGGAGACTTTTACTTCCTACCCAAGGCCTGTATTCTTGCCTCCGCAGGAAGGGAAATACTACAGCGAGGAGGCCGAGGTGGACCTACGGGACCCTGGAAGAGACTATGAGCTGTACAAGTACACGTGCCAGGAGCTGCAGAGACTCATGGCCGAGATCCAGGACCTGAAGAGCAGGGGAGGCAAGGATGTGGTAAGGAATGGACTGGACAAACATGAACCTGTGGGTCTGCACGGACGGACCTGTTTTGCACTTACCAGAGCCGTCCCTGATCTTGGACCTATAGGTAGTTGGAGCCTGGGGGCTCTAGAGATGTGCCTATTTATTTATTGGATCTTCTCATCACCACCTACTCACCAATTATAGAAATGAAAGTACAGGATAATTATTTCTTTGCATAACTATAATTTGATAATTCATGTAACTATTATATTTATTAAGTGCTAAACATTTTGCTAGGTATTGAAAAATGATAGTACATGTAAATTTCCTTGCTATTATAAGGCTAGATATATACAAGTAAATCACAGAGACCAAAAATGAAATTATTAATGTTAAATGAATCAACCAGGCTTCTGGGCAGAGAAACTAAATAGAGTGGTTACAAACTAGAGGGATACATTCAAAACAAAACAAAACAACCTATATTTTTTCCAGGAATCTCAGTTATTTGTGCTTACCCTGACCAATATTGTTAAGATTATTGTTATTTTTCTGAGATTTTATTTATTTCTTAGAAAGAAAGGGAAGGAAAGGGAGAGAAACATCGATTGGCTGCCTCTCACACACCCCGAGCTGGGGACCTGGGTCGCAACCCAGGCTTGTGCCCTTGACTGGAAATTGAACAGGCCATGCTTTAGTGTGCAGTCTGGTGCTCGACCCACCGAGCCACACCAGCCAGGACTGTTAAGATTATTATATCTTTTCTCCTACTGTAGTCAAATTTTACAGCTCTAATTCTCCTATTTTCATTTAAAATTTTTTTTCTGTAATGTTATTTATAGAGGTCAAATTGTTTCGCAAGATGTTGCCGTTATTAGGATATCTGTGTGCAATATGTGGAGCCAGATGTTATTGTGCATTGTTTGCACTTATTCCATATTCAATTCTTATTTTTGTTCCAAGCAGAAATTGCTTTATTTGGCCTGAAAACCTTAAACCTTTTCCTTGTACAGTCATTCTTTCATTGCTCTCTTACTCTTCTCATGGTTCTAAGCTCCTTCCAGGGTCTTTATTTTGGAGCTGAGCCAGTGCCCATTGTTGAAGGGTTTACCAGTTTTTCTTTGTCTGCAGGCTGTTGAGATTGAAGACCGCAGGATCCAGAGCTGTGTGCATTTCATGACACTAAAGAAGCTTAACCGATTAGCCCACATCAGGTTGAAGAAAGGAAGAGATCAGACCCACGAGGTAGGAGTTGGGAGGTTTAACTCTCCTTCTCCCTTCTCCCCAACCTCTTCTCAATCTCCTTTACCCCTTTTTCTCAGTTTGCTGCCCCTCTGCTCCATCCTGCCCCACCCCGACTTGCCCAACTCACCTCTGACCTTGTCCTCCTTTTAGGCCAAGCAGAAAGTGGACGCTTATCACCTGCAGCTCCAGAACCTGTTGTATGAGGTGATGCACCTGCAGAAGGAGATCACCAAATGTCTGGAGTTTAAGTGAGTTTTGGAGGACAGGGCTTTGGCAAGATGGCATGTTGGTAACTGCTTTTTCCCGCATAGCTCTGTTTGAGCTAGTCTTTTTAAAGAGAAATCAGATGATTGTGGAGACTGTAGGACCTGGGAGAAGAATGTATGGAGTACTCTGAGTGGGAAAATTGGAAGCAGTTTCAGGCTGCACCAAGAAACTCAGAAGCTTATCTGACCCTTTTGAATTTTGAGCTCTGTACCTAGTCAGAAGCAGTTGTCTTCTAATAGGGACCTTTACGTTCATTACCAGTTTGATTCTTGAGCACCTTGTGTGGAAGCAACTCACTTCCAATCATGTCCTTTTAATCTTAGGCCCAGTTTTCATCTCTAAAGTTCCAACAATTCATTTTTGCAAATGGATTTTATTCTTTGGAACCTGAATTTCTTGCTGCTTAGCTGCCTGCAGGTGAACAAACTAGAGTTTGGCAGTGTTCTTTTTAAAATGTAACGCCTCTTGGCAAATCCAAGCTGAAAGATGAGAAGGAGGAAAGAGTACACAGAAGAGAAGGGAATGTGTTCGTGCTTGGTCAAGCCTATTTGTGTGAACTGAAAGGCAGGTTATATTTGCTTGGGTTGCGTGGACACATCAGACATTGATTGAGTCTAGTGTATTTTTAATAATGATGATGCTGATTTTTGAGAGACGTCTTTATCTGTTCCACAAATTCATCACAAAATAATACTTAAACACTAATAGAGGTGAAATCTACATCAGGTCAGTACCTGAGTTAATAGTATTGTACAATTGTCCCTTTCCTGGTTTTGACTTTGTACTGTTTAAATAAAATATTATTATTGGAGAAACCCAGGGGAAGGGTACATGGGAAAAATAAATGCTCAGTATTCTTTTTGAAATATCTTGTGAGCCTTAAACTATTTAAAAATAAAAAAGGTATAAAAACAAAGTAAAAGAATGCATGCTTCCACCTGTAACCATTGCTCAGGTGAAAGCTGACAAACCCAAAATGCAGTGGAACCAGACCCATGGAGAGGCCAGTGGCCATGGTAGATACAGGCCTGTGGCTGGAGTGATACAGTTGGATTCAAATCTCAGCTCTGCTGCTCACTAGCTGCGTATGGCCTTGGGCAAACTGCTTAACTATGGAAACTTCCATGTCATTTGAAAAATGGAGATAAAAATCCCCACTTTTTACAGAGTTGTGAGAATTAAGTCAGGTGAGGACAATATACATTGGGTGCTTAATCTATGGAAGCTGCTTTTATTACCATCATTTATTCATGACCTGTGCATTGTGTTAATGCAGGAAAGAGTATTGAATTTCTTCTTTCATACATGTGTGTCACTATACATGCAGTATTTAGAGCTTCAAAGTCTTTTCCACATCTAGTTATGCCATGCTGAATCTTCCCCAGCCTGTGCTTATACACTTAACATTTTCAACTTTAGTGCATACTCTATGTTGATTCTTGTTAAATAATATTTCTTGGTTTTAACCTGACAGTCTAGGCCTAGACCATAGCATTTTTATGTAACTTTTTAAGCTAACAGACCTCTTGCTCATCTTGGAGACGTCTGGGAGTTTGATAAGCATCCCTTCCAGGCTCTTAGCTAATTCATGGATAAAAAGGTTGGCCAACATGGAAAAAGAACCCGTGGCATATCACCAGCTCCCTCTATTCAGCTGAAACATCTGCTAATGAGCGTTTGCTGAGAAAACTGGATTGCATGTCCCTAGGTAGCTGTAGGCCTGGGCTGAGTGGGTGTACATGGGGAGGAACTGTGGGCCTGCTTAAGCCATAGTTTGAGTTCCCAAGAACAGCAGCTTAACATTCATTTTTGTCTGTAGGTCAAAGCATGAAGAAATCGATCTGGTCAGTTTAGAGGAGTTTTATAAAGAGGCTCCTCCAGATATCAGCAAGGCTGAAATCACCATGGGCGACCCTCACCAGCAAACCCTTGCACGTCTGGATTGGGAACTGGAGCAGCGGAAAAGGTGGTGTTTCCTCCTTCTTGACCTTGTTAACCTATGTAGACACACTTGTTTAACCACAGGGGACAGTACTTTGTTATGACCCCCAATCTGCTGCACAACCAGCAGGATAGTCTCTAAGCCCAAATCTCATTTTGTGATTTATTCACACCTGATAGTTAAAATTTGGCCAACCACGTCATAAGTGGGGTTGGAATTGCTTAAGGCTGTTAACAGAAAGTTGAAGTAATCTTTCTTTTAAAATCTTAACACCTGAGACTTAAATACTTTTTGTACCATAAGTCTAATTTTGATTTTGCCTTTCTCCCTGCCTATAAGAATATCCCTGTGTTTTCTTTTTTTAATCCTCGCCCAAGGACATGTTTATTGATTTTAGAGAGAAAGAAAGGGAGAAGGTGCAGGGGAGAAAGAGAGAGAGAGAGAAACATTGATTGGTTGCTTCCTGTATGTGCCCTGCTCAGGGGTCGAACATGCAACTTAGCCATGTGCCCTGACTGGGAACCGACAACCTTTTGGTGTACAGGCTGATGCTCCAATCCGCTGAGCCACCGGGCCAGGCTTCCCTGTGGTATTTTAAAGCTTTGCAAACATTGTTTTAGAAGGCTGTACAATATTCCATGTATAGGCAAATTGTAATTCTCATAATCATTCCTCTATTGGATTGGACTATTAGGTTGTTTCCATTTTTTGTGATCAAAAATGCTTCAGGGCATACCTTTACATCTAAAACTTTTGTGTACTGATAAAGAGCTTTTAGTTATCAAATGTAAATAGAATGTCTATACTGTATAATCTAGGTCTTTCTAAGGATATGGAGGGTATTGTTTTGTTTTTAAATTCTGGACTTTTAATAGCTGCCTCCCTTCCATCATGGTGACTTTTTTCCCATTCATATTTATACAAGAGTTCTAGGGCTTTGGGTTGGCACATCTCCTTTCTTTGTTGAAGAAGCAGCTGTTTTTATTTCTTGTCTTTTTCTGTTATACAGTGTATTTTGTGCCTTTGGTACATGCTATAAATTTAGTAAGCGCTAAGTCTGATTCCTAAGGAATTGGTGTTAGTTTTTTAGCAGACAGGGCTGGCCTGTCATTCCACTGTGTCCGGGCACAGGTTAAAGTGTGAGTGTTGCATTCCTGTGGCACTGGTCTGGAATCCATCCCCAGCCCGCCCTACTCCAGCCACTCGATGGCCTCATTTGAGTCCTGTGGCTGTTAGGTCCACACATTTGTGACAGTTTGCATCTTGCTGCTGGAGGCAAGAAATGGAGCAGAAACTGGACAGTGTGGCTCAATTGGTTCCATAAACCAAAAAGTTGTGGGTTCAGTACCTGGTCAGGGCACATGCCTAGATTGCAGGTTTGGTCCCTGATCATGGTGCGTACGAGATGCAACCAATCGATATTACTCTCTTGCATCGATGTTTCCTCCCCCTCTCTCTCCCTCCCTTCCCCTCTCTAAAATCAATAAGCATGTCCTCAGGTGAGGTTGAAAAAAATAGAAGAAAGAAAATGGAGCAGATGACAACATGGGTATTCCCTAGAGGTTATGGACAGGTCCTCTGGAGCCAGGCAGGCACTGATTCAAAGCCTAGCTCTGTGCTTGCTTTTAACTGGATGACCTTGGGCAAGCTACCTACTTCCTGATCCTTCACTTCCTCCTTTGGGGATAAAAGTCTCTATCCTTCAGTGTTTTCACAAGGATTAAATGTAATAAAGCTTATAAAGTACTTCAAAGTACTTGGCACGTGGTAAGTGCTAGGTAAACGTGTTCATCAAGAATGCTGTTATTAAGTGAATTCTGACAGTGAACAGGCTTGCCAGGGTATCTCTGGAGAGCATCTAGTGACAGTGCTCGGTTCTTTTCCAACAGGCTGGCGGAGAAGTACCGAGAATGCCTGTCCAACAAGGAGAAGATCCTTAAGGAGATTGAAGTGAAGAAGGAGTACCTGAGCAGCCTCCAGCCTCGCCTGAACAGCATCATGCAGGTGAGGGTCTCCCCCGGAACCTCCGCCCCCTCAGCCTTTTGCCTTGTCTTCCCTTCAATGAGGCCTTGCTGATCTGAGTTGCCAGCAGCCATGTCTCCCTTAGGGTTTTGACACATTTGTTGCCCTAATCCGTGTCAACATACAGCATGGGGATGGTCCTGGCTGAAGTCTTACCCAGCTAGTCCAATAAGGTTGTGTCCTGAGTAGAAGAAGCCTGGTCGGATGGACTTAGGAACATATACACAAATTTACTTGCAGTGTTTTCTTTTCACCCAGAGCCTAATCCAGCTAAAATACGTTTGCAAACTCTTTAGTTTACTAGCCGCATGGTTTTACCAGTCCCTGAAGACTGCAGGCATTTCAGCATGCTTCTGTGGATATCTGTTAGATCCCTCTGACTGTACCTCAGGGGCAGATCCTCAGATCCACTCACTCTGAAAAGAATTTACTTATATTTGAAAGCCATTAGGTACCTTAGGAGGGAAAGTCCCCACTTTATCTGTAAAATATAATGTCTTTCTATATAGGTGACCTGATTTTGTTTGCTTTGTGAAATCAGATTTGGTCTAAATCCTTATAGTTTTATGAAGCAGGGTAAATGGTTAATATGAAGGAACTTTGCAAAAGGACCCTAGAGAAATTACAAATTCTCTTTTTTGGGATTTGGCAAGATTCACATTTCCTCCCTTCAACTCTAGGCATAGAATTAGAATTGTTAACAGAAATATTCCCAGTAGCACTTCATAATAGGACAGGAAGAAAAAAAAAACAGAAACTCTCAGTTGTACTTAATTTTTCCTGTTAAAAAATATGCTATGCAATTATTTAGGTTTTTAAAGTGATTGTACTTGATTTATGGAAATCTCCTCCAGCACTATATGAAAGTTCTAGTTGCCCCATATCCTCATCAACACTTAATATTGTCAGTCTTTTTTTTTTTTTTAAAGATTTGATTTATTTTTAGAGAGAGGGGAAAGGAGGGTGAGAAACATTGATGTGAGAGAGAAACATTAATTGCCTCTCGTACATGCCCCAACCAGGGACAAACCCACAACCTGGGCGTGTGTCCTGACGGGGGATCAAACTGGTGACCTTCCCACCTGGGCCACACTGGTCAGGGCAATATTGTCATTCTTATTTGTAGCCACTCTTGCTTATGGTTTTCATTTCCCTTTCCCTGGACCAGTGGCAGCTGAGCACAGCACCTTTTGTAAGCCCGTTGGCTTTTGGGTTAGCTCTTTAGTCAAGGGTCCGTTCAGTCCTTTTGCCCACGTGTCTATTGGATTGCTTAGAGTTTTCTTTGTTTTCTGGAAATGAGTCTTTTTCAGATAACTTTTCCATTCTGTGACTTTCCTCTCATGATGGTATCTTTTAATTAGCAGTAGTCTTAATTTTAATATAATCTATTTATCAGTGTTTTTCTTATAGCTAATGCTTTTGTAGCCTACTTAAGAAATCTTTCTCTGTCCCAAGGTCATGGAGATACTCTCTTGTTTTCTTGTAGAAGCTCTGTTGCTTATCTTTCACATTTAGATCCGTAATCTTCCTGGAAGTGAATTTTGTATGTAGTGTGAGGTAAGGATCAGATTCACTTTTTTCCCATGTAGGTATTCAACTGACTCATTTATTGGAAAGGCCATTCTTTCCCCACTTGTGCAGTGCCACTTTGTCATAAATCAAATGCCTGTGTGTGTAGGATTGTATGTGATCTATTTGTCTATCTATGCACCAGTATCACACTATTTTATTTACTGTAGCTTTAGCAGAAGTTTTGATGCTCAGTAGTGTAAGTCCTCCAACTTCATTTTTCAGGATTGTCTTTGGTATTCTTGGACCTTTGTGTTTACATATAAATTTTAGAATCAGCTAGTCTATCCTTACCTGCTGGAATTTAGCCTGGGATTGCCTTGAATCTGTAGGTCACTTGGGGGAAAATATTTGAGTCTTCCAAGCCATTAGCGTGGCATAGATCTTCATTCATTTAGATCTTTCATCTCTCAGGTCTTTGTGTAGAGGTTTATGCATCTTCATTTATTTATTCTTAGGTATTCGATGTTTTCTTGATGCTATTGGAAATGTTATCTTGTTAAGTTCATTTTCTTACTGTTTGTTGCTTGTATAAAGAAATACAGTTGATTTTTTTTATATTATATTGACCTTTTACCTACCTGTTAGTTCTGTTAGCTTATCATGTATCACTTTCATAAATGAAAAACTATATATGATAACTAAGCAGCCACATGTTCTTATGTAGACTACCTAAAATGGAAAAATAAAAGCCCTACTTGTGTTGCATGCAGGCTTCCCTCCCAGTGCAAGAGTACCTGTTCATGCCTTACGACCAGGCTCACAAGCAGTATGAGACAGCCAGACACCTGCCGCCTCCCCTCTACGTCCTCTTTGTCCAGGCCACTGCGTATGGGCAGGCCTGTGGTAAGTATGGGGCCAGGTGAGGAGGAGGGGCTGTGGGAGCAGAAGCTGTGGCTGACTGAGTCATTGGGAAGGACTGGCTGCTGAGGAAAGCTCCCAGGCCCTGCGCTGAAGCCCGCAGGTGACAAATGCTGCCTCCTGTCTGCATTACCCAGCATGGCTGCTTTGACTAGCTGGTCTGAGGCTGGACTAACCTGATGGGCATTTCAGAATGGATAGCTTCGAATCTTCAGTGAGCCTGACTGGTCAGCTGTTGGGTGCAGCGCGCAGGCAGCCCAAAGCACGCTTGGCAGGTGGATCAGCGCCTCTTGCTCCACTTCAGAGAAAGGGCTTGGTGAACACAGGTCCCAGTCAGCTCTCCTAGCCTTTTCCATGCTCCAAGCAGGCTGCATGTCATTATGGTGAACTACCCAGTAAGAGGGTGTGTCGTCATTAAGCTTAAAGGCAGCCCTTGCTCCACTAGGGTTTTGAGAAGTTTTTGGAGACCCCGCCTCTTGCCCTACTGCAGCTTTCACCCAGCACCTAAACTTTTCTTCCCCATCCCCACCAGTGCATGCCTCTCCTCCGAGCCATAGGCACCAACACATTACGTTCTCTCTTCTTATGTCTTCCTGGTCCTTCTGGTCTTCTCCCTCCCCTTTGTTCTCCTTCCTGTTTCCATCATCAGCTCATATGAAATCTTCCCAGCCCCCTAGACAGGGTGAGTAATTTTCTTTTGTGTTTAAACCCCAGCCTGTTTCCTTTCTCATTTTATGGTAGAATTTCAGGACTAAACTACTCAAAAGTTTGCCAGTGGTTGATGGAGACAACCAGCTTATTTGGGGTATGGTGAGATGGTCCATGCTGGCTTGTCAGAGAGGGAGTATAGTGGTTGGCCACCTGGGAATATTATCTCAGTGGCTGCTGCTGTGGGGGGAGTTTGCCACCCGTCCTTCATACTGTGGGGCAAATCATTTCAGTCTTCCCTGACTATCTGTAATCTGTGTACTGTTTGGAATGGAGCAGGAGTGGTGGCCTGTCTGACCTCCCAGCCCCAGGCCCACAGGCCTCTACGAAAACAGGCCCAGGCATCACTCAGGGAGGTGTCAGGCCTGGTGCTTGGAACAGGCCTCTTAACTTTTTACTTGAGATGCCAAGGTCAAGTTGAACAGACCTGTGCTTGATGCCAAGCTCAAGATGAGTAAGACCTAGCTTATATATTTCCTGGCTATTGAATCGAACTTCTCTGAGCCTTAATTTTCTCATCTGTAAATGTTTAAAATGTATAATTATAGTATTGCTCTTATAGGGTTGTTGTGAAAATCAAAATTGTTTAAAAAATAATTTTAAAATTGTAAGCATCAGCTCATTCATTATAAACATCACCTCACCATCCCACCGCGCAGCTGTCATTTATCACATCCCAATTTCATAAATGCAGAAACTGGGGCTCAGAGCTGTGACCTAACTCTCCAGGTCACGTGCTTGGGAACCGGTGGGACAGTGATTGAGGCCTAGGACTGGACTGCAGGGTCCCAGTTTCTGCCCATTGTCCTCCTGCCTCCCAGCTAACTGTGATAGTGCCACCCTGGTACTTGTAGTATGAAATAGAGAATACGCACTTAGTCTGGGGGATGTGGGCAGTTAGGGGTTTCTGCATGAGAACCTTTAAGACAGTTGGCAGAAGAGCGCCATGTAGCTTTCGGCCCTAGGTTGGGATTTCTGTAGCTTGGTGTAAGCCTGAAAACAGAGGCATTCACCACCCACTAGTCTTGGGTGATACTTGCCCAGGAATCTACACTTTGGGTTCTTTACTCTCAGTAAATGATGCAAAAAGGACTTAAGATTCCTGCCCTGTTCATTTTCATCTAGAGAAAGGGCTTTTGCTCCCATCCGCAGTCAATAAGGAGCTATGACAAAGGCAGAAGAAATGCAGTCCCAGAGCTGGCCTGCTTGTGTAGCTTCACTCCTTCCCTTAGCGGCTGTCACACAGAGCTTTTTCTTGCTCCCAGATAAGACGTTGTCTGTGGCGATCGAAGGCAGCGTGGACGAAGCCAAGGCTCTGTTTAAGCCTCACGAGGACTCCCAAGGTAATGTGCTGGTCAGGGTCCTCCCCTAAGTCTTCCGTAACAGATTCCGGGGACACTAAGTCACCACCCAAAGGCAGTGCTGATCCTTTGGAAATGAGCTGTACTAGTTGTGTTTAACAGGGAGGTTGACTTTATGTTCAGTGGTAGAAAGGGAAAGCACTGCTTTTGCATTTCAGCCCGCCACTTACTAGCTCATTGAGTCCCGGGAAGCTCTTTAACATTTCTGAGCCTCAGTTTAGTCACCTGTCAAAACAGGATAGTACTACCTCATGGAGAATGATTATGTGAATTAAACAAGGTCATGCATGCAAAAGCCCTTAGTATCCTCCTCAGCACATAGCAACCACTCAAATTATATGAGCTGCTTTTATTGCTACTTATATTACTGTTATTGCCGCCGCCACCACTGGCAGTGGAGGGCTTGTGGTCCATAGGATAATATTAAAAAGCATAAAAACACTTAAAAGATGGGTGGTGGGATTACAGGTCATTTCTCTTTTCTTTTTCTCTTGCATCAGCCTACTTTCTATGCTGAATATGAAGCAGCAAATTAATGTATTATTTATTCTTTAAAAATCTATTTACAAATGACACAGAGTCTGGGTCCCTTTATGTCCCGTGGGTTGAGGTGCTTTAGGGAGCATTGGGAGCCCCGTCTCCTCTAGATGTCTTCTCTCTGTGGCTGCAGACGACGAGAGCGACTCGGATGCTGAAGAGGAGCAGACCACGGTGAGAGCCGTTTCCTCTCGTGGGCATACCAAGCAGCTGCACTGGGGCCTGCTGGTTGGCAGGTGCCATCCTTCCTAGAAGCAGAAGAAAGGTTTGAAAGAAAGGGCTGCTGGGAGCCTGACGGCGGAATAGCTGAAGCATCAGGTCCCAGGCAGCAGTGCTGAGATCTGGCTGGTAGGGAGAAGGCAGGGAGAGATTCCCATGACCCGGGCTCATCATCTCCATGCTTGCCTTTGTCCAGAAACGCCGGCGACCCACACTGGGAGTTCAGTTGGATGACAAACGGAAGGAGATGCTGAAGAGGCACCCTCTGTCTCTCATGCTGGACCTGAAGTGCAAAGGTCTGGCGCCCCTTTTTCTGTGGATCCCAGAGCCCTTAAGAGTTCAGCCAGCTGCAGGTGCACAGGGTCCGGCAAGCCAGAGGCCTCTTTGCCCAAGAACAGATTTTGGTTTCATGTTTCTCTGTGCATCCTCATTGTTTTGCCTGGAGTTTGATTTTTCCTCCCTAAGTCATACCATAATAATAGATACATAGGGACACTTGATTAAACTGCACCTCTTTCTGAATTTTAAATGTCACATACACAAAACAAGTTGCAAGAGTATGCAGGTTTCGAGTAATTTGACCAACATGCTTAAGTTAGTAAGTTAGATTTTGTGTTCTTCAGAGATATATGTTTTGAAATTGGTTTGGTATGGATAAGAGAGCACGTGGTTAAGCATTCAGCAGTGTAAGAGTTGACAGTCAGTTTTAAGTGTCTCTCTCATCCAGATTCCCAGACTCAGGTCCTTGGTCTTACATCCAGGGAGAACTGTCGTGACAGGTTTCTCACGTATTTTCTAGAAATAACCCATGCATTTAAAAGTTTTTATACAAGTCTATATTTATCCCCTCCTCATTTTATCTTTAACACAAGTGGAAATATACTCTACATTCTGGTCCTTTTTTTGCTTTAAAAAAAATTGTTTTGAGGTAATTTTAAACTCAGAAGAGCTGCAACGATAATGCAGAGAGTTTTCATAGGTCCTCCAGCCAGCTTCCCCTAATTTCAACATGTTATTTAACCACAATATGATTATCAAAGCCAATGTTAATTTTATTGGTACCACAGTATTAACTAAACTCCAGGATTTATTCAGATTTCCCTGGTGTTTCCTCTGATGTTCTTTACCTGTTCCAAGATCCAATTCGGGATCTCACATTGCATTTAAATAATCATCATGCCCCTTAGTCTCCTCCAGGCAGTGGCAGTCCCTTAGTCCTTACTTGTCCTTTATGATCTTGACACTTCTGAAGACAAGGTTTATTTAGTATGTAGGAAGGCTCCTAATTTGGGCTCGTCTGGTGTTTTTTCTGATTAGACAGGTTATGGATTTTGGGGACGAAGACCACAAACATGGTCTTCATTGTCACATCATATCACCTCACGTCACATCATGGGAACATAGTATCATTGTGTCTTATTTACTTAAATTTCTTTTTCTTAATTGTCTTTTTTCCCATTACCATTTATCCCCCTTATACCCTCTTTCACCTCTCCACCCTCATTGTGTCTTATAACTGGCATTGTTAAGCTGAATTCACTTGGTGATCACTTAATCTTATCCCCTACCCCTTTTTTAAAAAAAGATTTTATTTATTTTTTAGAAAGAGTGGAAGGGAGGGAGAAAGAGGGATAGAAACATAGATTGCACACCTCCAACTGAGGACCTGGCCCACAACCCAGGCATGTGCTCTGACTAGGAATCAAACCAGCGACCTTTCGGTTCTCAGGCCAGCACTCAACCCACTGAACCACACCAGCCAGGGCTGATCTCTCTACCTTTTCACATTGTATTTATCAGAAGCAGGATCTCTTAAGTCCAGCCCTCACGTAAGAGGAGGGAAATGGAGCGCCACCTTTTGGAGAGTAGCAAAGACTCTGTAGACACTGCTTTTTTTCCCCTCAACATTAAATTCCCATTAAGTTTTTGTTTTTATAGTAAAATATCTTAAAGCCTCGCAGACTTTCTTTTTTATAAAACCATCGACTCTGCTCCCATGTTTAACTCATAAATACTTTTTTCTTCCTCCCCGTCCAGATGACAGTGTGCTTCACCTGACTTTCTACTATCTCATGAACCTCAACATCATGACAGTAAAAGCCAAAGTGACAACCGCCACGGAGCTGATCACCCCCATCAGTGCAGGGTATTACTGAGCATGCGTTGCAGAGAGTGGGACAAGGGCGGAGGGGCTGTGACGAGAGCCCTGGTGCTGGGCTGCTCTCAGTTTCTCACCTGGCTCAGAGGTTCGTGGCCAGTTTGACTTCTGCTGTCGTGTCCACTTGGCCCAGAAGTCCTGGCATATAACTGGTATTTAGAAAGCACTCACTCACTGACTTGAATTGGTGAAGTTGTCCTCCTACACAGCAGATGATAAAAGTGACTACAACATATTGCAAATTGAGTAGGTGGGACAGAACACCAGCTTTTTACAACCAGTGTGGAAAGAGCGTGAATGTGAAATGAGATTTGGGAGGCATTGTCACGTTGACCAATTTAGGCCACCCCTCTCTTTCCCTTTTCTTTTTCTGTCCCAAGGTGCTGCGATTTTCACTTTACAGCTCAGCTCAGTCCCAGGTTACCCTTCCCAGGGCAGTGGGAGGAGGACCACAGTGGGCCCTGCGGGGTTTTTGAAGAGGGTAAGCAGCAGCACGGTAATGGCAGCCATAGGTGGAATGTCCCTAGGCAGCCCCTGATGGTGGCAGTCCTGTTCCACTGCCGGAAGCAGGAAGAGGGGAGGAGGACCTAAAGGGCCTAAGGGTGCGAGAGCCTCACCTACAAGAACACTCTCCTGGCCTGGCACTCCTGCTGTCCCTGCCTGTACCTGGTCGCAGTGAGTCCTCATGGCAGCTGTAGGAAGACCACTGAAAGAGGCACAAGTCTGGTGCCTAATGATGTCCCCTGGTTTTCCACCCTGACCTTGCAGTTCACCCCACCTTCAGGCTATAGCCTTGGTCCCCGTGCTCGCGTTTTGGCCACCCAGGAGCATTCTGGATGGAATCGACCCCGTTCCCTCCTGACCCCAGCAGAGGGAGCCCAGGGCTTGTTTCCAGAGCACCCAGCTATGCTGCTCAGGCAGAGCTCTTGGTTCAGTGAGCAGCTCTAGGACTTTAGCCAAATATCCTGGCTTCTGAGTTTCCTCACTCTGTGGTCATTATTTTCTTTTGAGGGGTTTTTTGTTTGTTTGTTTTGTATTTTGTTTTTGTTTTTTTAAATTTACTTTTAGAGAGAGGGGAAAGGAGGAAGAAGAAGAAAAACATTAGTGCATGGTTGCCTCTCACACACCCCCTACTGGGGACCTGGCCCACAACCCAGGCATGTGCCCTAATTGGGAATTGAACCAGTGACCCTTCAGCTTGCAGGCCAGCACTCAGTCCACTGAGCCATACCAGCCGGGGCTGTGGTTGTTAATTAAAACGTCCCTCTTTAGGGAGCTTGTGAAGAGTAAGGTCAAGTGCTTAGCATAGGTGAAGCACTTTGTAAATGATAGCTGTGGTTATCATTTTCCACTTGTTTAACTCTCATAGTAGCTCTAGAAGGTATTAAAACAGAGGCCTGTGTACCACTGTGCTATACTACTATCATTGCCAGGTGGGTCCTGGCCCCCAAAGGAGGAGACACAAAAAGAAACCACTCTGAAACCAGGATAAGATCTTTATGGGCCTTCAGGTATTGTCTAGCTTATCCCCGACTATTGTACAGGTGGAGAAACTGAGGTTCCGGGGGCATACGATCATGGAAGCCCTGGGTCTAGGGCTCCATGTGCCTTTGCTCAAGTACAGACGGCTTTGGCCCCTGGAGACACCAGCCTGATGTGTGGTGTTATTTATCTACCTACTTTTTTGTTCTTTGATATAATTACTGTTTTACACTAATTCCTTAATATCACCTAATAGCCAGTCAGAGTTCAAATTTTCCTGGTTTTCTTGTAAGTGTTTTTTTGTTAGTTGTTTGGTTTGTTTTTTACAGTTCGGGTTTTGACTCAGGATCTCTATAACGTCTGTACGTTGCAATTGGGTGAAGCTTCTTTTCATCTGAATGCCTCTGCCATCTTTTGATTTGTTCAGAAAGTGTGTTCGTGTGCACTATAGGTTTCCCCCAGAATTAAATTTTAATGATTGCATTCCTGCAATACAATTTTATGAGTTATTCCTTCTCCACGTATTTCATATAAATTATAGTTAGATTTAGAGGCTTGATAAAATTCCATTTTGATGTTTTTTGTAGGGGGACAAGAGGGCAGGACTATGTCATAGACGTTCTTGAGTTCTTCCATCAGGAGACCTGGGCTATCTCTATTTTTGTGATCCTAGCAATATGGATGACTGTTGTCAGGATCTATTAATTCATTAGGGAATTAATGTTTTTAACGCAAAAATTTTAATCAGAATCATGCCAGCCTTGCTGAATTTTCCTCAAGAAATTATTTTCCAGAATGATCTCATTGGGGTATTTTAATTCATTAATTTTTCATTAAGCCATTAAACTATTTTTACTCATTTTCCATTTTCATTTTTCCAAGGTTTTTAAAATCCTTTTTTCATTAAAATTTATAACAAAGATTTGACTACTTAAATCATTTTTTTGTTTTTTTGTCTTGGTGTTGTATTTTTGACTATAGATAGTTTCCCCTTGTGTGTCTGTTGTTTTTACCAAATTCAGTTGTCTTAGGACACAGACGTAAGTTTTGTCAAGAAGATTTGATTAGCAAGTTTTGTTAGTTAGAAACCCTTATCATGTGCGGTTGTAGCTATTCTATTTTAGTTGATTCATTCTGTTGGTAATAGTCACAATATATTGGCCCAAAGACGGGCAATTCTTGTATATTTTCTAGCCAGTTTTTCATGTGAGGCAGATCCTAGGTCAGGGGAGGCAGACACACCCTGGGAGAGAACAAAAAAGAGCCCAAAGCTGCCACTGCCCCAGCACTAAGTCCTGAAGGCATGCCGGGGGCTCAGAGCAGCGGCTTGGGGCTCAGAGCTGCAGGATCCGCCCTTCTGCCTGAGTTGCTCCTGATGCTGTTCCTGAGAAAATGGAGAACACTGTGCTGGTTCAGGGAAAGAATGAGATCTGTTGTCCTTTGTGATCAGATTACTCCATTATTATCCTCCCCCCTACTTCTCAGTCTCTTCTCTGCTTGTCACATTTAATTTCAGGCTGTGCCCCAACCATTCCAGGTAGGTGGCACTGGCATCGCTTTCTTATCTGCTTGCAGCACTGGGTCACCTTGTGTCCAGGGCATGTGATAGTGTCCTTTTCTGGGAATGTAAAGGGGACATTTCTTGTGAGTAACATGAAATTTGGTCAAGTGATAGAGACACAGCACGAAAGCTGCACACTTTCTAGGGTAGTAAGGAATCTCTCTGCTCCTATAAAAATTGATTATTTCTGTTTTCAGTACCATGGGGCTTTGCTCCCATTAGATAAGGCCCTGGTCACCATATAACTCTTAAAAGGATAAGGGTTTTTTGTTTATTTGTTTGTCTGTTTGTTTTAATATGGTGGTTAAGAGTACAACTGCCTTTGATTAAGACAGTGCAAATCCCAGCTTCAGCACTTATGAGCAGTGTGATTTTGGACAGGCCATATCTTTCAAAGCCTTGAGTTTCTCTTCAATAAGAGGAAGATGACAATACTTCCTACCTCATGGGGTTATGAAGGTCCAATGACCTCAAGTGTATAAAAGGTCTGACACACAGGAAGCATTCAATAAATGGTGGCATTGATCATTAGTGGGAGGTGGCGCCACCCTTGCTGAATACCCAAGTCTGCCTCGAGACACAGTGTTGGACAGCATTCTCACTGCAGTCTTCTCCCTTTCCAGAGATTTGCTGTCTCCTGACTCAGTCCTGAGCTGTTTGTATCCTGGGGATCATGGAAAGAAAACTCCGAATCCAGCCAATCAGTACCAGTTTGACAAAGTCGGGTGAGTCAGCAGTGTTTCCTCTTCTTTCAGCCTCTCTGCTTCTGAGTTTCTCTGGTGGCTCCAGCCCAGTGCTGGAGACCTGGTAGGGCCAGCAGCCGCTCAGAGGGTAGGGGGCACGGAGCAAGGGAGCATGCTCTATCGAGAGAAGGCAACTCATTTCCTGCTTATGAGGCAAACGGAGGTCATGGATGGGTGGGAAAGGGCGGACCAAAACTTGGGGAACATGGTAAGAACATGTAATATCATAAAAATGTTTAACATTTTAATTCTCTGAGGATTAAAATTTTTTAAACATTTTATAAATTGGTAAATCAAGTGCACTGCATTTTTATTGAGATTTGCTTATGGGGCAAGGGCTGTCAGGAGAAAAAAGAGAGAAGTGAACATGGGAGAGATGGAATTGACAGCAGGGAGCCGAAGAGTCAAGAGGCTTTGCTGGCAGCCTTGCTGTAAGCATGGCTGAGCCCGCGGGACCGGCCTGTTGGGGGTGCACGGGAGGAAGGCTATGTCCTGCGAGCATTGCAGAAACGACTTATAAAATCATTTTATTCTTTTATGCAGCATCCTGACTTTGAGAGACTATGTGCTTGAGCTAGGTCACCCCTATTTATGGGTGCAGAAGCTGGGTGGCCTCCACTTCCCCAAAGAACAGCCTCAGGTGTGTACTCTGATCCAGTCTTCTCAGCTGGAGAGCTCTACCTCCTCTCTACCCATACAGTCTCCAGAAAGGCCTCTGGGGGCTTTAATGAGCAGAATTCTTTCCTTCAGAAATATGATCTGTTCTCTCCCCACTCAGGACACTAAAATGTGTAAGGCCTACAGATATTTAGGTACCTTTGCCTTCTTCCTGAGTCTAGACACCCTCTGGATCAAAGTAACTTGGGTCCGTGCTCTGGGTATAGCACAACTGTAGGCTCTGCTGCCCTGTGGTCTTGTGTTCCAAGATGCCAAAACTGAAGTATAAGCAGAACCCCAGGGGATCTGACACCTTAGCAGAAGCTTTCCTTTTCTCAGGAGCTGGCCACAGCCTCTTAAGAACCCAGCAGCTTGTGTCGTTCCTGCTGGGGCTTAGCAGCTGCCCTGTCATAGCAAGTAACCCCTGCCTTTCCTGTGAGGTGCCCACCTCAGGGCATGTGCGATCTTGGCTGCCGCCGGCAGGCAGGTCCTAGGAGGGAGGCAGTGCCTGGAGGAAGGGGTGTGGAGCACTCAGGTGTGCTGCTTGGTGTCTTCCACAGCAAACGGTGATTGCTGACCACTCGCTGAGCGCCAGCCACATGGAGACCACCATGAGACTGCTGAAGACCAGGGTGCAGTCGCGCCTGGCCCTCCACAAACAGTTTGCATCCCTGGGTAAGGTGGTGTTAGGGCTGTGGCTTGAGAGCCATGTAGGGAGAAAAACAGCTTCGCCCTTCACCCAGATGTTTTAAATCCTGACAACAAATCAAGGAGGGCTGGATTTCCGGCTCTTGCCAAGCAGAGCTGTTGGCAGGGCCACTGGAGAAAGCTGCAGGCTCATCCAAGCAGAGATCTGAACCCCCCTCGGGGCCATCAGGGCTGTCCCGGCTCACAGAGGAGGCCCAAAGCCTTCTGGAGCTGCTCATCCCGTTAGTGCATGTGGGACTTCAGAGTGCAGCTCCAGATATGTCATAGAAGTCCAGTTCATGCTTCGTGGAGCTTACCTTCAGCTTATTTGAATACAGCTGTCCAGAGGTCCACCCCTCATCCCTCCCCTGAGACCTACTGAGCTCACACCCTCCAGGGTAAGGCTGAGCCCCTCTGTCTGTCTGTGATAAGTTCCCAGGCGAGTCTGATGAGCCATTAACCAAGATGGTGGTCATATGGGGGCTTCTTTTCATTTATTGATTCAGTGAATACTTGTCAAGGGCTTACCATGTACAAGGCACTTGCAGGGTAGTGAGGCGTAAGATCTTTCTATCTAAGAGGCACTGCTGGGAAAGACATTGGCTTGCCAGGACCCCTCTAGAGACCCTGTCCCTCTGGTTCCGTTTTTGTGCTCCAGGCGGACCCTGATCTCTGCAGGGCAGCATTGCTCGCCCACGGGCCTTCTCCTCATCAGCATTGCTGAATTTGTTTTGTCTCAAGGTTGGGTGATTGTCATCCTGGACAGCACTTACTGTGTTGGCATATTTGCTTATTGAAATGCCAGCAGGAATTTATGCTGGGGCGGTTATCCAGTCTTTTTCCCGTAGAGGAACTGACACAGAACATCTCAGTTGTTTCCTCCACCAAGGTCAGCTGTGAAAACACAGCCCTCTCGGCTATTTGATCTAATTAACAGTCACTGCAGCGGAGGCACTGTCACTAGTTTTGGCTGCCAGGGGGTTCTTGTTTTGCTGACCATCATTTGTCTTAAGGATAAAGTACCATGAATGCTGGTGCTCAGTGTGGCCACAAGCACGTAGCCCTGGGTGAAGGTCACGTTTCTGTGCCTACATTCCTGGCACACGTTGACCTCGGTACCTATTGAGTGCCAGGTATACCCAGACATCTTGCAGGGCCACCTGAAGCCTCCATAGGATGCTATTCGCCTAATTGTGGCACCTGATTTCTACCTATGACTCCACCTGTCTTGCTCCCTTTCAGAACATGGCATTATACCAGTTACCAGCGATTGCCAGTATCTCTTCCCTGCAAAGGTTGTCTCTCGCCTGGTGAAGTGGGTGACGATTGCCCATGAGGACTACATGGTAGGTAGATGAGTGACAGGCCATCACTGCTGTCCTGGGAACTGCAGGCTCATGCCCCCCCTCAGTTCCTGCCCCTCCCTCAGAAGGGCAGGAGGCTTGACTAGAGGAGCCAGCCGTACATTCCTCATCCATGATGTTTTCTAGGAGCTGCATTTCACCAAAGACATTGTGGAGGCTGGACTGGCAGGGGACACCAATCTCTACTACATGGCACTCGTGGAAAGGGGCACAGGTAATTTGTTCTGATAACAGAGGTTCTAGGCAAGGGGAGTGGCTGAGAATAAAACATTCCTGGTTGTTGCCCAAGGAAAGCGAAAGATCCGGAATCCTACTGCAGGGCCTCAGTAATGAATGTTGAGAGCCGTCGTTCAGCGAGGACTTGTTCTGCAACACAGCTACATATGCGCTTCATCTCATTTAATCCTCATGACAGTCCTGGGGGTGGTATTATTCCCATTTCCTAGGTAAGGAAGTTAAGACTTAGTCACAAACCCAGTCTGACCTCTTACCCTGAACCCTTAGCCCTTGGCTTTACGTGTTTTTCTCCCTCTTCACAAAAGGGCTGACGTGTCTCTGTCAGGTTGTAAAGTGCGGGATGGCAGGACCTTCCTCCATCTCTGCAATTTATGCATCAAAAACTGCAACTCCTCACAGGCGGCCTGGCATCTACTTTGCTAGGACTTTGTGCTGGAGTTGCCCAGATGCTCCCTGTGGTGCTTTGGTCTGACCCCAGCCTTGGCGGGCCTGGTCCTGACCACAGAACCTGATCCCTGCGCTTGGCATCGTTGCCACAGAGTCAAGGAGCTTGTCTGTAGTTGTGAGACAGTGCAAGAAATGTAAGGAAAGGTTTTACTCTTTGATGTTGCAGTTTCTTTATCTCAGTTTCTCACTTCTCGTGCGTGCGTGTGTGTGTGTGTTTAAAAATACTCTGAAGAAACTAAGTCTTTCAGATACAGTTGAGGCCTCCAGTTCCACTACATGCCCTCCCTCAGGGTAGATGACTACTATTTGGAATTTGTGCATTTGCTTTTCATCCTCTCTCCTTTTAAAGTATACTTCTACCTCATCCCTAAACACCACAGAGTACTATTTTGAAAGGGCATGAAATAGGAAGTCCAGGAAATTTACGAAGTTGCAAGGGTGGGAATTCATTGGAAGCCGTCACCTCTGCTTCCTGGTTGAGTAGATGAAAGCTTGGCAAGATAATAAGTATTCTAGGTTCATACATAGAATGGATGTGATAATTAAAATTTTCATTAGCTGTATTGTAGAATTTGAAAAGTTCAAGGTGAATTTTAAATGAATAAATGGACAACAAGCCCAAATACATATTTAATCCTTAAGTCATGCAACAGATCAGTTTGAAAAGTTTACATAGTATAGATTAAAGCAAAAACTTGGTGAACAGAGATCAATCCAGAAATGTATGCAGACTATTATGAGAGGCAACACAACAGTAGAGAAAGGAATCACTTTATAATCAGTGTTTTTGTGGCTGTCAGGGAAGAACTGTCTTATCCTGCGCTTTCTTATCCACTGTTACTTGAATTACTGGTGTGTCGAAGAGTTCTATTTTTTCTCTCTCTCATAAATACTGAAAAAAAGACTGGGATGCTTAGCCCTTTGTGGAGAGGATAAATGTCATCCTATTGAAAATGGCAGACTTTCACTAAAGAAAAAAAGAATATTTTAAAAATACAAATATTTCATTTAATGATTATGAACACAGCTTTGACATCAGGCAGTTTTGGTTAAAGTCAGCGCTGCTGCATTGCACTGTTTAATCATAAAGAAGTTTCTGTCAGAGCCTCCGTTCATCACATGTACAACGGGATGAGAATAATGGTACCCACCTCAGAATCATTGTTAGGATGAAATAAAATGTGCACAAAGGACTTAGCACAGTGCTTGGAAATAGAATAAATACTCAATAATGTTAGCTTTTAACAAGTTTCACATAAAAAAAAGTCTAAAAATAAAAGGAACAGAAGAGGATAGATTTGGTTGATGTAACAGCTAGTAAATAATATTGAAAACACAGATAGTGAACCGTTACATGGGAAAATCCTTAACTTTTTGGCAAATAAAGAAATGCCAATTAAAATAAACATTAAAGGAGCAAAAAGAAGTCTTAGGCAAATCTAATATGGATTAGACTCTGGGGAGTCCACATACCTCTGTCTCCTTGGAGGGACCGGTGTCACAGACATTACGTTCTACAACCTGGCAATTACACTCAGAGGTTACAGAACAAGCATAAACGTCAGTTAGTACCGGAATGCGCTCTGAAGCACTTGGATTAATGAGACGTCACATCTAGCCCTAGGGGTGCATTGGAGACGGTGCGTGGCTGGCAAGCTGGGTCTCAAACTGATTTTTCCTCCTTCCCCCTCCCAGCCAAACTCCAGGCTGCAGTGGTGCTGAACCCTGGCTACTCCTCCATCCCACCGATTTTCCAGCTTTGTCTGAACTGGAAAGGGGAAAAAACCAACAGCAATGATGACAATATTCGGGTAAGGCCCTGCTGGGCGTGATGGGAGGAGCAGGAAGAGCCTCTTTGGGGAGGCGGGCTGGGAAGAACCTGCCAGAGCTGAGGCCTTGGGCACTGGCCTAATTCCTAGGACAGGGGCTGCCAGGATTTACTGGACACTACATGGTGTGGCAGGGGAAAGAGCCTAGACCCATCTTAACCAGTTATCTAGTTTGGGGTCCACAGGTTTCATCCCATTTATAAAATAGTTATATAAATGCCTGCCTTGAAAGGTTGTTGTCTTGGGCTTCTGTGGAAATGACAATTAACTCAGAAGCATAGAATTGCTGGAATGAGATGATGTATGAGATCGGTGGAGCTGTTCATTATTATGCCTATTGATTTGATTCTGTGGTGGCCCTAAGGCTGTGGAGCATGTTTTTAACCCTGCTGTCTTCTGAATTGGATCTTATCTTGAGATTCCTTCCCTATACACGTCTGGGCTATAGGTATGCAAGGCAGGAAAAGTTACGGGTCAAAATTAGGAAGACCCCATCACTTTGAGGAGGGGGAGCCTCAGGACAGCGCGGTCCGCTGACGGGGTGTGGGCCAGCTCCTGCAGAGGCCCCGCTGCAGTTCTTGCGGAGCTGTCAGACCCAGCAGTCTGAGGCCGCGCTGAGATTCTGGCCTTCTGCTCTGTAGGCCATGGAGAGTGAGGTCAACGTGTGCTACAAGGAGCTGTGTGGCCCCCGGCCCGGACATCAGCTCTTGACCAACCAGCTGCAGCGCCTGTGTGTGCTGTTGGACGTCTACCTGGAGACCGAGAGCCACGATGACAGCGTGGAGGGGCCCAAGGAATTTCCCCAGGAGAAGATGTGCCTGCGGCTTTTCCGGTGAGGGGAGGGGCGAGAGTGCCAGGGACGTCCAGTCCGGCCTCTCACGGGGACGTGGGGCAGAGATCGGAGCCTGGCGTAGAGGGCGCACCTCTTCGTAGGCTCGCGTGTCTCTGTTCACAGAGGAAGTTAAAGTCCTGCTGCCGGACTTCCTGGATCTCCCCAGGAGGATTGCTGCCTCCTTCCTGAAACTTTTCCTGCAGCCTTTCCTACCAGCCTGGTCCAGTTGTTCTTGCAAACATACCCTGAAGTGGGGCTGCCCACTGAGTGAGCAGCACCAGACCATGAACCAAGAGGATTTGGCTGAATTTTACTTTCTCTACTGTCCAAATAAGTTTTTTAAACTATGTGCACCTCCTCCAGTCCCCAGAGTCTGCTCTCCCCTTCCTAGGGGGCTCACATATCTGTGAGCAACAGCGGTAGGCAGCTGGGCTGTACAGAAGGAACCAGCCCTGAAGTGAGGCAGGCACAATCACCCTTCTCTGTTTTGCTGCTCACCAGCTGTGTGACCGTGGAGAAGTCACTTCAGCTCAGCTCTGAGCCTGTTGCCTAAAGGCTGAAGTGGAAGTATTACCTTCTAGCTCATGGTAAATTAGAGATAATTCATGTAAAGCTTCCAGAATGGCTCCTCACATGGACAGGGGCTCAGAAAATGTTAACAGATCCTGATAGGTTGGTATTTAGCCTATCTGCTTTCCCTACTTCTTTCTCTTTGGGGTCCTCTCTTTCCCTTTCATCCCCTAACACATGTTTTTAGAGCCCATTCCTGAACTCCAGATTTCACACTGCTCAGGCTTCCCTTCTGTTTCGAACAAGGGCTTGCAGAGGGATGGTGTCTGGGGAGGGGGAAGGGCCATAATCCATTTCTACTCGGGACATCCCCCTGTCCCCTGTCAGTCTCAGAGGTGCCTTACCTGCACCTCACCTTCTCAGACAGCCAGTCCCCGCCTGGGGAAGTTGTCCCCAGCACCCTCCTGTCCCTGTCTGGCATCTCCGTCCTGCCTGATCTGTGGTGCTATCTGATAATAACCAGCTCTAACCCCCATGTGGCTGCTGGAGGTGGAGCTGGTGGCTGGGTGTTGGTGCCTTCGAGAACTTGTTTTCCCTAGTGGGTCTGTGTGAGACCTCAGCTTTTCCCACCCTCCCAGCCTGCAGTAGCACACTCCTAGGGTGGGATCTCTCACGTGGCCACTGTGTATTTTCTGTTATCTAATGGTTCCCAAGGGACCCATTTTGTGAAGTGCTTTGTATGTCACCTAGGCTGAGCTCTGTGACCTCTGGGAATCATTTGGCTACTCAGATCTAATTAACTCCATGACTGGTGAGACGTGAGGTTCTTGGCCTGAAGTCCACCTGATCATTGGGATCAGACAGGGGGCTGGGTTTTTTTGTTGTTGTTTTTAACTGCAACAGATTTTATTTAGCATAGTCAGTCCCAACATTCAGCACAAAAAGTTTACAGAGGCTGGGTGGGTACCTTCAGGCTGTGGGTTCAGCTGTATGCTTAGACTTAGCCGATGACAGTGCCCTTCTGGTGTTGGGAGGTATATAATATCACGGGTATGAGCAGAAGCTTTGAGGCCAGAAAAACCTAGGTTCAAATTGCTGCTCCTGCCTGTGTGATTAGGGTCTGTCCTTAGTCCCTTTGAGCTTCAGATTCCTTGCTGGTAAAACAGCATTCACTGCAGATATGGTGCAATTCAGGGAGCATGAAGTTAAACCAGACAGAGCACGTAAAGTGCCAAGCACAGTACAGGCAGAATAGGCTTGCACTTAGGTAAGTGGTTGCCCTGGTGTTAAGAATGAAAACCTTTTTTCTCCCCTCTTTTCTACAATCCCTGACACACACACTCCCTCCCACCCTCTAACTCAGACCGAGATCAGGGGTGTTACTAGTGGTTACCACTGAGTGTCAGTCATAGGTGAATGGAGGAGGTCCTTTACCTGGACATCAGTCACTGTGGGCTTTTGTGGAGGGGGACCCTGTGCAAGGTGTTGTGTGGGGGTCCAGGGTGACCGCTGAAGCCGCTACGCTTCAAGAGATGCAGGCTTGGGCGTCAGACCTGGTTTTGAATTTGGGCTCTGCTGCCTTCTGACAGTATGATGTTGGGCAGGTAGTTTAGCTCCCTGAGCCTGTTTTTTCATCTGTAAAAATCTATAAAATTACAGAAAAGCATCTAAGAGGTAGGCACTTCGTGCAGATTCGTTTCATCCCCCGAGTCAGACGCCCACCTTCATGGGGATTTCCTGCAAAGAAGGTTTTTAATTTTTTTCTTTATTTTTTTAAATTATAGAATGAAACCATGGTTGTTGTTAAACATAGAACAATAATGAAGAGATGTGTAAAAGCACTAACATATGAGGGTGCCCACGCCCTGTCCCCATCAGTGCCCGTTGTCAGTGAGGGCCCTTCCAGGCCTGTGTTCATGCATTTGCAAGCATATAAAGACATTTTTACAAAAAAGTTATCACGCCTTACATATCGTTCTGCAGTCTCACACATTCCTTTTTTTCCCCTCTAACAGCTCTACAGTATTGTGTGGATAACTGTAATTTATTCTGTCAGCCCGAAGGGCATGATATTAACTGACCTTCCTTCTGTCTCTCTAGGGGTCCCAGCAGGATGAAGCCGTTTAAATACAACCATCCCCAAGGATTCTTCAGCCATCGCTGACCTGCCTGGCCTGCCGTTTCCCCCTAGGCCCTACGTGCTGCGCCTCGGCTTCGTCCTCTGTCCCACATGGGGCTCCTGATAGTCGCCAAAGACAGGTTTTATATTTCCTGCTGATTAAAGTGTCATCTGACCAAGTGGCCTTTGTCTTGTGGCTCTTTTGGGAGGGGAGAGGCAGTCTGTAAGGGCCAGCAGAAGCCACAGCGCATGTGAAAGAGCATTTGTGGATAGGCTTTTTCTAGGTGGCCAAGAAGAGCGGAGTGCAGAAGGTTCTGATTCTGCAGAGGGATGCTGCCTGCTTGTCCACATCCAGCTTACTCGTTTCTGCTTTGGGAAGTCCTTGTTATCTTGGTATTTATATTCTAAGACCCTGCTAGGAGGTGGCAGGGCAAACCAAAATCAGCACAGCACAAAAGCAAAAGCTCTTCTTTGGTCTCCACTCACTCTTCCCACTGGTTGTGTCAGTGCCTCTGATGGCCACATTTTCTGTTTGTTGGGTGTAATGAACATCTGACAGTGCAATGCAAATAGGAGACAGATACATCACAAAGAATGGTTACAAATCTTGCAGGATTTCATGAGTGGATGAGTGATTTTGGAGAATCACATGCAGAGCTACCGCCCAGTGAGGCTCTGGCAGAGTGAGACCAGGTAACATCTGAGAATCTTCATGATGGTAACAGGCTAAGGGCCTCCAAAAATAACAGTTTGGCTCTCAAAGGATTAAGAGAAGTCCTGGGGAAAGAGGTAACACCTTCTAAAATGTTCACAAAATTACCTCCTTTGTAATCCTGCAAAAATCGAACAAAGTGAAGGATAGCATCAAGTATTCTTGGACAGTTTTGTCAGAAAAATTATACTCATTCAAATCAGTACTCTGTTCATTCTTTATTCATTTTAAGAAGTAAGATATAAGGTTGTAAAAATATTTAAGAATTATTGTATAGTTGCAAGTATAATTTAAAGTTTGCTAGCTACAAACTTTACAAGAAAGATGAAATTTTTTTCAACTTTATTGAGATATAATTGATAAACCATTGTATACGTTTAAGGTGTACACGTGATTATTTGATATATATTGCACAATGATCACCACAATGAGGTTAGTTAACATATCATCATCTCATGTGGGTAATTTTTTGTGGTAAGAACTTTTAAGATTTACTGTTTTAGCAACTTTCAATATATGTAAATTTTACTTATGTGATAGTCCACAACCTATTTTGAAGTTTGGTCCCAATGTACGTGCATTCACTCTAAGTGGATTTTACTTATTATCTTTGGATAACGTGGATCTCGGGTATAAAAGCTGTTACCCGCCTGTCCTCTCAGCTGATCAGCTGATCGTTGAGCACCCAGTGACGAGGATTTTCTGAGGAAGAACTGGGAGACTTCTGGCCCTGCCAGTCCCTTTATTTTACAGATGGAAGCCTGGGTCCAGTGAGGAGTGGAGAGGGGCTCTTAAATCACCACCACTTAGCTGTGCTCCTTGCCCTCATCCTGCATCATTCCTTTGAATTCCAGAGGTGGGTACTGTCCAACCCAGATGTCCCTGAACTTCAACATGTATGCATTACCATCCTGGGAATCAACTGGAAATGCAGATTCCCATGCCCCACTCCAATATTCGAACTCAATCGGCCCAAGATGGGCATGAGGAAGTGTATTTTTAACACGCTCCCCAGGTGCACGTTGCCCTAGTCTCTTTGGAAGTTGCTACACTTTCTTCCCTCCGTTCTATTGGCGACTCCTCAAATAATGCAGAAGGACCCCTTTCTCTGTGAGCAGCTCCCTGTCTTTCGTCTTCTGTGCCTTGGGCAGCCGCATGAGCCTTCGGGTGCTCCGTCCACAGAATGAGATCCGCAGCACGAGATCTCTTTGTCTTTTCTCTGACCTACTTGCCTGGGACTCTCCCTGCCAGCATCCCCTTGGTCTGGCCACCTTCAGGTCTTGCGTCTCACAGCCTGTGCTGAATAAGATTGAAATGGGGCCTAAAAATAGTTCCTTTAATGGCCCCTGCATTGCGGTCTCCACTCCCTTCTTGGCTGGAAGGCAGCCAAACTGACTCAGCACAAAAGCTTGTCTCCCCGTAGCTGGGACAAGGTTGCAAACAGCCTGGGAGCCTGGGAGGAAGCTCTGTCCTCGGCAGGGGCGTCAGCGCCTGTCACCCTCCAGAAGAGGTTTTTCTTCTTTAAAGGAGAAAAGGTTGAGCAAAAGAATCCTTTGGCCTTTAGGAGAGGGTTTCTGTTTGATTGTTTAATTTATTTTTAGAGAGAGAGGGGATGGGAGAGAAAGAAGAAAAATAAAGTACATTGATTGGTTCCATTTATTTCTGCATCCCTTGGTTGATTATTGTATGTGCCCTGACCTGGGATTGAACCTGGGACCTTGGCGTAGCAGGACAATGCTCTAGTCAACTGAACTACCTGGCCAGACCAAGGAGAGGGTTTTAAAACTAGTGAGAAGCCCAGGACAATCCAACCCCTTTGAGCTACTTAACTGAACCATTTCTGCCTTGGTAGGGCAGACTAAGGGAAGGGGCCTGGCTTGATTCCTTCTCAGCCAGAATTGACCTTTCCTTTCCTGGTACTGAACCCAGACCACCCTCTCTGTCTTCCTCCTGTACCTGGGAGGGACTCAGCCCAGGTTCTTTGCCTCTTTAAAGCTGCCATCCATATTTTTGATTACTTCTAGTTTCTTTGTTTTCTTCCCAGCTTGCCCTTTCCTACTTTACAAATAAATCCAAAACACCCTTTTTATTTTAAGGGTGTTCCTGTTGACCACCCTTGGGAAGCAAAGCTAAAAACCCCGTTCATGGGAAGGAGCAGAGCTGCCAGGCTGCCACACTTCCAAAGGAATTTTCTCCTTCTCTGTGTAGCCCCAACTCTGTCCTTTTCGTAGCGCTCAGCAGCCTCTCTGATGAGAACAGGTGTTGAGCATCTATTTTGGGTCAGCCTCTGTGCTAATCGAGATTTTACATTCACTGTCCTATTTATAATCACAGCAGGCTACCAGGAGTACACATTCCCTTTATTTATACCGATAAGGAAACTGAGGCTCAGAGCATTAGATGACTAGCTAGCTCATGCTCCGATGGTTCTCAAGTGTCCCTCCCAGGGTGTGAGCCCAGAGCTCTGTCTGCCTTCAAGGCTTTCCTCTTCACAAGAGTAGCTTCAGGCTCCATGTCGCTTTGTGCTGGCACTCTTGCTGAGCCATTTATTCATTTTTAGCAATACAAGTACACCAGGAGTACTATGGTGGTCAAAAGTTATAGCTTAGTGCCAGGCTGGCCCATCTGGGCCCTCGTTCCACCCCTGAGCAGCTGGGTGACCCTGGGCAGGCTGTTTGACTCACCCTGAGGCTCAGGAGTTCTCACCTGCAACTGGGGGTGGCAGTCAAACCTTCCTCACAAGGTGGATATGGGGATTAAGTATCTCAGCACCATGCCTGGTACCTAGCACTGCTCAGCAAAGGGGAGAGGTTCTTGTCCCTCCCCTGCAGACTTCAGCCTGGTGAAGCAGCCTCATAAGTGAAGAAGGCGTCTCCTGCCTGACGTCCCCTTCCCCTGCTGGTGGGTTCCCAGGCTCCATTAGCCAGCTCTCTGGCCCTGTCCCTCCTTGCCAGCAACACAGCCACCAGACAGTGGCCAAGCCGGTCTTCACTCTTGGCAGGAGCCAGGCTCATAGCACCCATCACCCATACTGGGCCAACAACAGCATCTACTATGATCACGTGGTTTTGTCTTCATTCTGTTTAAGGTGGCGTGTTACATTGATTGATTTTATTATGCCAAACCATCCTTACATTTTTGGGATAAATTCCAGTTAGTCATGGTATATAATCTTTTTAATATGTGGTTGGATTGGACTTGCCTAGTATTTTGTTGAGGATTTCTGCACAACGGATATTAGTCTGTGGATTTATTATGGTTCTTTGCCTGGCTTTGGCATTAGGGTAATACAGGCCTCTGAGCATGAGTTAGGAAGTGTTCCATCCTCTTCTATTTTTTGGACACTTGAGAAGAATTGGTGTTAATTCTTCTCTAAATGTTTGGTAGAATTCACCAGTAAAGCCATCTGGGCCTGAACTTATTTTTGTGGATAGTTTTTAAATTACTAATTTAGTCTCTCTTTGTGGTAGGTCTGTTCAGATTTTCTGTTTCATCATGAGTCAGTATCAGTAGCTTGTGGCTTTTTAGGAATTTGTTGATGCATGAAGTGTTCTATAGATGTCTGTTAGGTCTCATTGATATGAACTATTAAAATTAAAAACTAGTTTTCTTTTTCATTGCAACATGTTTACTAATATAAATATAATTTATTTAATGAATTTTCTGTTTTTGTATATTCGAGGTACTTTCCTTTTTTCCAAGATAGAAAAGTGAACATACTTTGTTTTTAAATATTCCTGTACAGACCTGTTATTTAATTTTCGATACTTTCCTGAAAGTGTCATACTTTGATTTCAGTAAGCTTTTAAGGTTTTTGATACACTCATGAGATTGCCTTGCAGGAAGGTTTTGTCAATTTCCATTCTAACCATTAATTCCAGAAAATTCAAGTTTCTTTCTATACCCAGGATCTGTGTCCAGGCTCACTCACGTGGTTGTTGGCAGGAGCAGTTTCTTATTGAACTGAGGGCATCCAGTCCTCACTGGCTGTTGGCCAGGGGCCTCCTTCATTTCCTTGCCATGCAGACCTCTCCTTTGAGCAGCTCACAGCATGGAAGCTGGCTTCCACCAGAACAAGCAAGAGAGCAGGCAAAAACAAGCCAAACAGAGGCCAGAGCCTTTTTGTGGCCTGCCCTTAGACATGACACCCCCTCACTTTGCTGTATTCTAGTCACTAGAAGTCAGTCACGAGGTCAGGTTCACACTCAAGGGGAGGACATTACAAAATCAGGAATAACGGGAGGTGGGGAACGTTGGGAGCCATCTCAGAGGCTGCCTCTCACAGAAGCCGATGATGAGGAAAACAGAGCTGAGCGACAGGGCATGATCAAGTCCTAATGACTTCAGTTCATCCTGTGAATCAAACTGGGCCTACAATTCAACCATCCCTGAGTGCTTCAGGTAGGCCAGCTGCTGAACAAAATACCACAAACTGGGTGGCTTAAGCAACAGAAATT